TTGTTACTGAAACTCTAGCAGGAGGTCTGTTGCCTTGCATGGTTACAAAGTCAAAAGGTACATGGGCAATCTTTTTGTTCAAGGCAGTACGCCTTCAATTTTCTTTGCATTCAGAAGAAGAAGAAGAATGATCTGACTTTAATCTTATGCCCAAAGACCTTTAATTCAGAGGTAGATGCTTGAAGTCCTCACTTATCATCTGCAAAATACATTCACTTTATGTAAATATTTTCTTTTTAAAAAATGTATAAATTACTCTTAGGGCACAAAAAGAAAATTAATTTGCTCAATTGATTACTTGTTTCTAATATCTGTGGGGGAGGGCTTGCCATTCCCTTCAGACAGGGAATTCAAGAAAAAGTGTCAGTACTCCAGCAGTATTTAAATAAAGACAGAAGTTATCATGGCCCAGACTTTGAGCCATTACACACCAAGGAGTCAGACCACCTTACATGTATATGTCCAGATTACGCCATTTCTCTCTCTCCTTTTGTGGTTAAAATTTTAATTTTTGACTTGGCTTTAGTCTGGGTTCGGGTTCTTTTCATGGTCTAAGTAAGTAGAGGATAACTTCACAAAAAGAGATTTCTCTCCACTCAGTTTTCAGCCACTTATCAAACAACTAGATGCTCTATGTGGTTAATTTGGTTGTTAACTGTTAAAAATTAAAAAATTCCTGGCATTGACGTCACTAAACTAAAAAAGTTGCATTAAATTCTTTGAAAATCTAAAAAATAACCAAGATCAGTTAAAGAGAAAAATAAAACAAAGAGAAACCCAAAATGATAAATTAAAATGGATCCAATTCCTTGTGTCAGAAAATGTGAAAGCCATTTTGAGGCCATATTTGGATTAACTCTTAAGGATGGGCCTTTGAGGTCATGACCAGCTGTTTTAGCTTGAGTGAGACTATACAATTGCTCAAAGACCCAGGTGTGAATAAGGAACTTTTCCAAATTAAAGCCATTGTGCAAGAAGAATACAGTGTAACTGTATAACAACCATGCTTCCCAGGAAGGAACTTTTTTGTGTGAACAAGAAGTGCTGCTATTGAGGCTGTGTACAATCAGGCTCAAAAGTGTTCAGTGTTCTTTGTTTCACCCCACTAGGGTGCTGTCTTTTCCCATATTATTATTATTATTATTATTGCATGCTCTCCAGTAATAGAAGGCTAATAGTTTTCCTTAAATTGTAGCCTGCACACCATTACTGATAGTTACAGTACAGTTCAAAGTCTATTTGCACACTATACATACCATAGTGCTTTTTTTAAAAAAATCAGAAAACAGCATAGAAAATCTTCATGTCCACTGTCTCAGATGCAGAGACAAGTTCAGCCCCTGAAGTATGCAAAGCAAAATCTCTGTGTGATTGATGGGTGATGCTTCTGCTTATATCAGTAATGAGGTACCAAATCTAGTCTATGGTATAAATAGCACGTCAGATGCTGCAAAAAAAAATACAGTCCTATAGTATCTGCTCTGTGCCACCTAAATAGCATAAAGACTACTCTTTTTTATAGGAGTAGTAGTACACAATGAGGTGTATCTGGCACTACACTGAGAGTTTTACATCCCCATCAGAAAATAGATTTCAAAACAGGAAATAGGCAAAGATGCTGTTTTACTGACTTGCCATTTTATTTCTTTAGTTCTATGTCTTAGAGCAACTGTGACACAATTTAGTTTTAAGGGCATGTATGGAAAGCAATATTATGGTGTAAAGGGAGCTTACAGTTTGTTGTAGACAGGGTACTCTGTGATTGCAGAATGCTCCAGTTATACATGTCCAAGCAGTGCAGCAGGGACACTCGCTTTGGCTCTTCTGCTAATACCATCTGACACAGTGCCCTGGGGGGACCTGCTGGGAGGCTGTGTATTGCTGAACTCTTAAATGGTCAAGCTTCAGTTTTACATGTCACCATACGGATGGAAGATTAAGCAAAATGTAACAAGGCTTGTGCTTAGAAAAATAAAAAGGAGCTGACATCCTGCTCAACTGCTTTCACAGAGATCCAAGAGAGAAATGAGCACATATTAGAAACTTCTAGGGAAAAAGCAAAACTATGCTCTTTACATTGACAGAATCAGGCCACAATTCTGCCCCAAATTTTCATCAAAACAGAAAAGTATGGGAATGTAACACTTAAAGATTATTCACGTTAAAGTATAGACCTGATGTGAACACCAAGCAATCAAGGCTGACAGTCCAAAGAAGGCTTTGATGGTTTCTTAGACCACTTGTCCAGGTGCCATAATCTGGGATCAATACACAAAGAGCCATAATTCAAATACTATGAGTTTTCTTTCTTTAGAGCTTTGGCATTTACTATGTTATCTAACTGCAACCATAGAAAAATGTATGACTTAACTTTCAGTGGTCCTCCAGCCTATATGCCAGGTTAATTAAACAGATACATTCTGAATGTCATAACAGTCCTGAAATGTCCTAGGAAAAACAGTCACATCATAGCTCCTCTGGTTAGTAATGCTGGCATAGGCAAACTCTTCAGGTACCTGTGCTTAGGGTGCATCTAGATTATTAATTTAGTGTGCCATGAAAAGCTTTCCTGGCTCCAATTTGCCTTGTACTTGGGGACTTGCAGCATGTACCAGAGACAGCACTGGCAGGCTCTGAGCAGTTACTCCTTGGTGGAGGAGTACATGTCCTGTCCATGAGGACATGCCCAGGGCAGCCCTCTAGCATGCCCATTGCTAAGGGGACACAAAGTGCCTCCAGCCTTCAGACCCCTGCTCATGAACAGTGCATGCCTCAGCCAGGAACAAGCCCTGAACAGTCCTTGCTGTAAAGGTGTTTTTCAGGCATGGGATCCCAGAGCCAGAACACATTTTACTAAATCAAAGCCTAGGCTTTTCCTCTTTGCACTACATCATATGACAACATTAAGTCAATCAAGCCAATTCAGGTTTCTCAGAACTTCAGTTTGCAGTGTAGGCAGCGTGGATGAGTATGAGAAGGGACTGACAATTGTCATTGCTGCTGTTGTGTTTCCTCTACCTGCAGTTCCCTAGAGATTCCTATTGTGAGGTTCAAGTGGGGAGGAATCACATTCTGCATCCAGTTGCCTTTTTCTTAATTTGCCAGCCTATAAAAACTTGCTGATAGCCAGAACTGAGTCTATCTTTGCCCATTCTCACTGGCTACCTGCTGACCATTAAGACACAAGTGTTTAGTTTCAAGCTCTTCCAATATTTTTGAGCAAGACAATGTGGTTATGTTAGCATTAGCAAACATTGTGGAGCAAAAAGGACCAGATCTCCATAGTAAAAAAATTGATTTTGAGGAACTAAATTCTTCACTATCCATACTGATGTATTTTTTACTTCAGATTAGCCCTAGTTTGGTCACGAAGACCATGGATTGAATGCATTTCTGTGACTGAAGAACATTAGGTGTATGCCAGAATTTTGCTCTGTGAAAACTTCACTATCATTGCTAACACTGCTCTTGATTTGGATGAGAACAGTTGGGATAGGCAGCCTAAAAATGCACAAAAATTCATCCCTTCATCCAGAGCTCTGAGCACCACAGGAATCAGCACAAAAGGATGACCAGCACTTAGTCTAGTTAGGAGATGATGACATATGATATGGAGACTTTCATGCAAATGGTGCAGATAAATGGAATAGTAATCTCAAAATCTTTATTCTCTCAGACAAAATCCCCAGTTATCTCAGATCATTTGTTTTGACAACACGAAAAACTGGAAAAAAATAAAACTGAGGAAGTGAATGTTAAGCCAAATATTTAAGGAACTGCCTTGCAGCTTCCCACGTATATTTTCCTCTCCTGCCAGTTGCTGTCTGTTTTGCCTGTCTATTGGCATCTCTTGGTTAACAGTATGGGACTACAGAAAATTTAATACAACATGAGTGATAATCCATCCCAAAATGCAGTTTTTTCCACAAATTTTAGAGTTGGGCATATTCATATATCTGATTGTCTCAGAGTATATTCTCTTATTCTCTTACAGAGGAAGATTAATTACATAAAACTTGAATTTGTCATAGAGATCATGTAATTCTGAAGATGAAGCAAGAGTGACAAAAATACAGCAGGAAAATTCTTGGCTTTTCTAAAGTCAATGGGAGCCTTCAGAGGAGTCAGGACTTCATCCTGTATGTTTTGTTTTTCTTCAAATGTCAGTTACCTGCATACAACATAAATACCATGTGGTCAGAGAAGTGTACAGTGAATAGCTGAAACAGTTAACAAAATCAATAAGTGTAGGGAAAGTAGATGAAAACATAAACCAGACTGAGATATTTTTTCCAGACCAAGATTTTTAAGTCTTCTGTATTTTGTCATTTGTTAAACCACAAATAGCTATAAACAGAGCTGCAGTTCAGAGAGTCTTTGTTTCTAACATAAACAAGGTATAGGGCATAGCTCTGTATGTCAGCCAAACATGACTATAAGTTACAAAATGATATATATGTATAAAAGAAGTGTCAGACCATAATTGAAAAATTGTATTTGGACATGAATAAATGTAAGGAACACACTTAACTCCAAAAAGGCAGTAAGTATTTAACAGAAAATAACCCAGATTAGATTAATGCATGCATTGTACTGTGTGAAATTATTTTAATTCAAGATACTGAAATCCAGAAGATGGGGAACTTTGCAGCATTTAAGTATCACTATTCATCCTGGTGTGTCTTTCTTAGTTAAGAAAACTTATAAAAATGATACTGAACTTAGGCAACTTTTAATTTAATTATATCTAGGAACAGAATAGCAGACTGGATCAAATTGTATCAAACATATTGCAGAATTTCTTCTGTTTTTTTCTGAAGAGAAAAACTTAACAGGAATAATGCTTTTCATCTAAAATGTCTGCATTTCTTAATTGCCTGGTCATATCACAACTTCTCACATCTGTAACAGATCTATTTAAATACCTATTTTTTCACTTTATTTTTTCCTCAGCTAACATATTCTGAGCATCAAGAACATTTACTTTCAAATAATTACCTTAAATTCTTTTTCAGTTTGTTCTTTAGAGCTAAGAAGAAATACAACTCTCAGGTGAGTGTGTTAGCCCTCAAGTGTTCTGGTGCTACAGACTCATTTAGCTGCATAGGTCACAGCAGTCATTGCAGTAAACAATGTTCCAAACTTCCAAAGCCTGCAGAGGTCAGTATAGCAACATCAACAAGAAATTATATAGCCTCACTGAATAGATTAGCAGTTAAAAATATTTACTGTTAAAACACAAAAATGATGTATCATTCTGGCTGTTACCAGAACTGTGGGACTACTGTGGCATGTGATGGTTATTCCTGCAAACATCATTTAATATTGCAGATGCTTAAAGCTTTAAAGACTTATTTTTGTATTTGCATTTGCTATTTATAAAAGGGTTAAATATATTTTTCTTGAGAGTGTTTGAGAAAAGTTGGATGGGCACTATGGAAAATGTAAGCACACTCTTCTTCGGAAGCTGTCTTCTCCAAGTTGCCCTGTCAATGACCTCTGCTGTGACATTGAAGAAATACCCTCTGTGTGGGTGAGAAGTAATTTGCTTCAATAGCTCTTCTGCCCCAGACATGTATAAAAGGAGATTGTAAACATATACCCCACGTTTGCTTTGGCACTGACACCATCAAAGTCATTTAGAGCAGAACTTTTAGCTGTTTGTGACAAACCAGATCAGGATGAATCATAAAAACAGTTCATGTTAAACTCCCAGCTCAGTGCAATGAAATCTCAAAAACTGAAAGGAATGACAGATAAATAGTGATAATCAGTCCCTTGAACAAAACTATATAAACTTTATTTATCGTCTTGGCCAGACCTGTCTGCTGTTGGCACTAGATAACAGTTACATTAGTGTTTCACTGCACATTCTCAATTATATATTAAAGAATAAGAAGATATTCAGGCATGACTCTGGGGTCTGCAGAGAAAGATTTTGAGAGACATAAATTTGGCTTAAACATATATTATTTGTTTTATTCAAAGCACTGCACTTAGGTAGGCAAAATATATGATATCTGCAACACAATGTTCCCATTTCTAAAAAAAGCTGGTTATAACTAAAATATTTTTCTTTCACAAGTCTGAAAAAGTTCAGGGCAAGATTTTTGTCTCGTCAATGCACAGTGTCTATTGTCTCAGCTGTCCACCATAGCATTAGTCATGGACACTGAGGTATTGAAAGTGGTTCTGCATTCATTTTTTTCCTTTCCCTATGGACTTTCATATAACACATTTCTTAATAACTCTCTGCCTTCACTGTTTCTCGACAGAAAATGTTAATTGCTCAAAACAGAGCAACTTTTATGTAAACAACTGAAACAGGGAAACCATCCTGAATATGAATGATGGGTCAGATGCTCTGCTGCTTCTATTTATGTATCCCTACTTCAACTTAAGGAAAATTGCACACAGATCTGTGGCAGTGGGAGGATTACATTTGAACTTTCTTGGCCTTAAGAGATTCATTCTAAAGTGCATCTTTCGCTATCTATGCATATATAAAATTGCATAGAAATTACATGAAGTTGATGCCTTTTTTAAGTCTGAGGTAGTAAAGTAAAATGACAGATGATGAAACATGCCTAATTTCACTTACTGTCCCTGCAAATCAATAATGTGTACTAGTAAGGATTCATGGAATTAGTAGTATTTACATATCTGTTACTTGCCCTCAGGTTTTAGTTATTACATTTTTCTACATAAGAAAGTCATGGATTTGGGTATCCAAATCATTGGGAACATTTAACATAGCCTCATCAACTCTCAATCAAAAACTATCCCTGAGAAGCTTGTAACAGCCAGTTGTAAGAAATTTAATGGGTAGGGGAGAGGTCACAGAGAATTTTTAAATGCATATTAAATCTCAGCTTCTACTGAAACATCTGGTTGCCTGTAGCAGTACTAACATGATACTGAATCAAGTATCTGGTTCATGTGGTTCCTGCAAAACCAGGAGTCTAAAGATTTCTTATCCAGCTACACTCATAATTCTCTTTCTGAGAAAGACAAAGAAATACAGTACACAACCTGCCTCCTGATATTGTAAATATTGACATGGAATGTTTCCCATATATATTTTCAAAATAATTATGTTTTGCCATGTAGAAGATGAGACAAGAATATGTAAGTGCTTAAAAAAACCCCAAAGTCAAACAACCAAAAATACCTCTCATATTTTTTGACTTAAATCTAGATATTTAAATAGAGGAAGCTTAAATAGACCAGCTCATAGACTTTTAAAGATTTTTAAGATTAAGCACTCTGAAGTGAAAGGAAAAAAACTTTTCTAAAATAACCATAAACTAGTTTCTTCTTTCACATTCTGTTCATGCATGGTAGATCTCAGACCAGTTAAAGCAACAAAGGGAGTGTTGGTTTGAACTTGGAATAAAGTATAGTGTCTTGAAACTCAAAATAGAAAGGTAAAAGTGAACAGGCTAGAGCTGGTAATATAGATCTTCACAATCTTGCTTCTTATTCGTTTATTTCCCCCTGTGCAGAATGGATGCAGAGTGGAGATGAAGATCATCTGACAGAAGTGTTTCATCCTCACTTGTCACAGATATGCATGACTATTCCTGTTCTAATTATTTAAACTCAGTCTGATAAAACAAATAAGACTTAAAACATTTGTTATTTCACTAGGTTCAGAGTAACTTTAAATTGAAACATTGTTTCCCTATTTATCATCATCACTGTATTTTTCACACATTGGAAGCTTGCATCAAACATCAGAGGGCTGGTAATTCCTGAGAGAGTTTGTCACTCAGGGGTTTATAATCATTCCCTATAAATTAGCAGTAATATTGTAATTTTTAAGTCAGTCTCCAACTTTCCTTTACCTCCCCTCTGAAACTCAGAATTCATGGGAAGGGGACAGAATCTTCTAGAAAATCTACAACCTCAAGAGTGCATTTTCATTTTGTTTAGAGCAAAGAATATTTGCTGAGTCAACAGTGAAAGACTGAACTGTAGGTAATGCAAGGGTGAAACAGGTGCACTCAAATATTTTCAAGATATAATAGACCTACTCTAGCACACAATGGCTGCACAATACTGAAGAAAATACTGCATTCAACCTGTCCTCAAGGAGTTCATAGCAGAAATCTCACAATCTTCAGAAGTAGGATGGAATGACAGCAGATTTTCATCAACTCCATGGAAAGATCTTTTTTTGGCAGAAGGCAAAACCAAACTCAGTATACAGCCTGACTTCCTCCTAATACTTGCCAAAACAATCTCCCCTTCCCACAGTTCCTCAATGTCAACAAAACACTGACAAAAACAGCTGCTGGAGGCAATAGTTCTGTTAATACCATCAACAGTCAAATATGTTCAGTACTCCTCAGTCTCTACACAAGTCACAGTGTGTGACCCCCATGGACATTTGGCTAACTAGAACTCTTTAATAAAATCAAATACTTGTGTGATGGGTACAAGCAGCTCTGTGTGTAGCACTCTGGGCCACACAGCAGAAATCAGCCTATTCACAGTATTATAGAAAAGGTGAGCATTTACTGCACTGTGTAGAAGACATCCTCATTATATATAATTAGGAAACTTATTTTCCCCCTGCTGTCCTAATTTGTGGGGTTTTTTCTTCATTTTTAAAATTCTCCATTGGCTTTAATTAGCTTCTGTCTGAAATCACCAACCAGGTGAAATTAGAGCACTCTTTAAGCTAAAAATGCAGCTGGGTTTTTTCAAACTTTTTTAAGTTGAGCTTTATTCCCTGAGGCCAAATCCTGCCTGCTCTTGCTCATGAGAGTAGTTCTGTGCACTTCAGTGAGGGGTTTTCAGATGAAGGCAGATTTTGGCCCTAATGGGATATACCAAAGTTCTTCTAAATATGGATGTAAGATATATGAGACAAATCCTCTCTGAGGGAAATCAGCAGTGTCCTTAAATCAATGAAACAAAAGCCATTTAAATGCACTGAAGAGTTTTCCTTTCCTTCACAAGTCTTCACCAAATATTTACCACATGGAAAATGATATATTTTTGCTAATGATGTTTCTATTCCTTCATTTAAAAATTCATCATTGTATAATCAATACCAGTGTCTCCGCCCTTGCTATTATGAGAGTAGAAAATTTTATCTAAGAGAAATAATTTTTGTGGTCTACATGACATGACATGACGTTCTTAAGTGTTTTGTTGTTAATCAAGAAACGAAAAAAACAATCTTTTTAAGAAATATGAAATATGAGTGTCTTTAAAATAATACAGCTCTGAGCTTTACAATGTTCTTTGGGTACTCTGGAGCTGGAGAGAGTCATGTCCTTGTGATATCTCAGTGACAATTTCTATTCTAAGTGTCAAAAACAACTCTGCTATCTGGAGCAAGTAGTGTAGTTTTCTCTTCTTTTAATATTCTAATCGTGAGGTGTAAAGTGAAATGGTTGCACAGTGTAATGGTGGTAAAGAAGCTGAGTGTCAATGAGACGGGAAAGGTGACAGACACGGAATGAGTCCCCAAGGTGCTCTCCAAGTGCATTGGATAAAGATTCCCCTGGGAAATTTTTCTCATTAGTTCTCAGACACAGTTCAGTAATTCAATAGCACCAGGTTACCATTAGTCACAAGACCAAAATATGTTACTTTCCATGCTTTAGGTCTTTGATTTGTATGTGTCATTTTGTGAGAGAAAATCATGAGATTATATATTATTCAAAGTAAGTTTGTATGTTGTTTACATACCTCAGGATGATCCATGACATGAAGACTCCTATTACAAACAGCATAAAAATTAAACAGAACACTGACACCTTTTTTGATATTTGAAACTGCATTAATGAGTGATTGTATTGTACAGACATGAGCAAGACGTTACAGATTATTTTCTGTACTAGTATCCAAAAAATTAATTATAGTTTGAGATTCAAACCTAAAATTGTCAACAATTAAAATTGAAAAAAAAAAAAAATAATCACTCTGAATTTTTTCTGTGGATATTGCCAGGTAAAAATAATTCTTCCATGCTGAGACATGAAATGTGTACGTACGCAGCTAATATGATTGGGAAAAGTAGCTAAAAAGTTTGATGGTAGCTAATTTTATGTGTAATTACTCTGAGAAAATATTAAACTGAATAGGTTACTCTCGACATTTTTTTCCTGTGCAATAAAGGATGTACTTATTTCTATGCTATCAAAGTTAACTGCACTCCCACTCAGCACTCGAAGGAATAATGGCTGGAGGTGTTGTCTCTCTCATTACCCATCAGGATGGAAAGAAAGGAGTGTCCATTCCTAGTGGTCATTTAAAACCTCATTGTTATATTAAAAAAAAAAAAAATAGGAATGACAAAGTCCAGAAAACACAAACACAGTAAGTTATTATGTTTTAATACTGTTCTGAGTATTAGTTTATCTTTTTATGTATCCAAGAATGTGCTCTAGAATTTCAGTTTATCTTTCACTCCTGATTAATGTATTTAGCACTCATCACTGCACCATGCACTCGTACTAAAAGAGATGGAAGCTACAATTATTCTGCCTAAAATACTTCAGGAAAATACAGATATTTTAGCTTCTTAGGAAAACAAACTAACAAACCCCAAAGAAGAATGAATTCTCTGTAAGCTTTTTAATTTTATTTGATTGTAGTTTATGGAATGTGGGGATGTTGGATTTTTTTCCCCCTCTTTTCAAAAATGTTCAACATTTAATATGAGAAACAAACCAAAAAGTTTACATATAAATGTCTGTCTTGAACAAAAAAATACTGAACTCTGTCAGTCAATAGGTGCCTAATTTTCAGCCTGTCAACTTTTTATTACAGTCAGATAAAAATCATGCACCCTAAGGTGTCTCATTTGGCCTAAAAAAATCAACTTATTAGTAGAATTCCTTAACAAGAGGAATTATAGCCCCAACACAATTACTCGTGCAGCAAATAGGATTCACTGTTTCTTGGTTAGATTCTGGTATGTTTATTGTTGCACTGCAGAAAGACCATGTGTTTAGTGCTGTGGTATTTGTGCCAAGTAAATCATCGAGAACCAGTTTCTATTAATCTTACATATCTTACTGCACTGGAGTCGGATGTTTTGCTCCCCTGATTAAGCTGAGAGAATGGCACTTTTCTGGAAGTGTGAACTCACCTGTTTTATGTGTATTATTTTCTTCAAAGCTGTGCACTGCAGTCTCCAAAGGAAGCTCTTTGAATTGAAATTTTAATTGAAAATGTTTCCATAACTCTTTAAGCTATCTTCCAACTAATGAACAGGCTCCAAATAAGTATGCCAAATACTTATGGTATTATTTATGTGCTATACAGAAGCTCATCATTGACTTATGAATTGTAAATATTTGTAAGTGGCTCATATTAAAGTAGTTGTCAACTGCAGCTACAGTACTTCACCTTCTGTCACTCCCAGGTATCAAGGGGGCTGATTCAATCACTCTCTTGTCAGACTACCTTTCTTCTCGTGAATACCCAAATCCCTAAACACAACAAAATATAAATGAATGAAAAGTGCTAATGATGCATCATTACCAAGAGGTATCAAGTTTTTTAAGGTCCTTTGCTGACTAAATTTTAAATTAGCACAATTATTCAGAGCATTCCCCAAGGCACCATTCATTATGCCTAGCCACTGGGTTGAGGCATTCTGCAAACTAAATATATATTACTGTCCACAGCATACTGTCTGTCTGCCTTCCTGCAGCAGTTGTGTGTTGAAAAACATGCAAGTGTGTGTGTATTTTAGAACCGATCATATATATCTGCATTTCAGTTACTGCTCTGTTGCCTACAATATACTTATATGCCTAAAGATCCTGAATAACAACGACATGCACTTAGAGATTGAGATTTATTTTTTCAAAATGTTGTTTCATCTGCTTTCTAACACAGTGATTTTAATTTCCAGTGAAATACAAAGACTGATGAAGCCAGGAGCTAAAAAGTCTCTGATACTGCCTAAGCCTTCCAGAAGCTTACAATGCACAGTGGATTATATTTTCCTTTGGCCTTGTTATTGGCAAACAGGTCAGAGTGAGCACTATGCTACTAAATTTGTTGGGCAGCCTGGGTATCATATCTTTTAGAATTCCCAGTAGAAATGACCTGTGTTAACCTACCTTGTATGTCAGAATTTAATTTTTTTTTTTTATGCACTAAAGAAAGAGTCCAAAGCCCTTGTTCATGAGGACATTTAACAGCTCTCTGAAGAAGAAAGGTAACTTTGCCAAGACAGATCCTTCTTGGATTGTCCAAAAAGCAGATCAATTTGATGTACGCAGCAACAGGCATGGTGTTATTCCTTGTGAAACACTAGTTGTATTTTTCACAATAATAGCAAAACAACCAGTCTTTATACCCATGTTACAGCTTATTACAAAGAGAGCAAACTGTGTGACTGTTGGCATGCAGCATGGGCTCACCAAACTACACAGTTGACAGCTCTCCCAGTAAGATGCAGTGCCCATTTATCCTCATGCAGATGAAAATAGGTATATTCATAAAGGAAAATTATTTCTGTATGTATCTAGCTGCAAAGTCCTGACTTGTTTTTTTAACCCAATGACATCACCACACACAAGTTGGGCCCCACAGCACAGATGTGCTTTCATGTGCAGTGATATCACTTTCACTAAAACACTAAAGGCATGACTTTCAAGCAGTTTTAAAATTCAGATCAGTTCTGCTCATATTTAATCCAGACATGTTGGTTTAACACCAAGCCAAGCCAGACCTTTTAATGTTCAGTGGCCATGATATAAAATTCTTCACTGTGTTGCACCAATAAATTCAGAAGTGCAGTGTAATTTGCTATAGTCACAGAGACTCTTGTGAAATTTAAGCAAGAGTGGAAAGCAACCTTTCATTTCGTGCCTTACCACAGCACTTCAGCTCTTTGGAAAACCCTTTTTTCACCGCCTCCCCCTGCCCAAGAAATGACTAACTGTGTGGACAGAATAATTTACTGCTGCTTGTTTTGGTCATGTTGAGATTAAATTAAAGGTAGGCTGTAAACCACCATCGGACTCTTCCTAAATTGGGACCAGTGTCGCTGTGGCATTATTTAGGAGTTGTTTGAAACAAACAATGGAAAGGAAGCGCCACTTGACACTGACAGCAAGTATCTCTGTTCATTTTGCATTGTCAATAGCTCCAGTGGTAGCACTATTCTTTTGACAGCTAAAAGCAGATGTGTGGGTTAAGTATGGGAGCAATTCAAATGTCCATAGTAAACTGCAGGGGGGCAGAGAGAGCTCAGAGAGCAGCAGCTTTAAAGTAATTGACTAATACAGTAAGGATATTAAAGTCATTTAGTGCCAAAAGGGAACACACTGATCCTTGACCCTGAGCCACTTTGGAGTAATCTAGTATTCAATCCAGCGTGTAATGACTGCCAGGCCTGTCAATCCTCCGGGCTCTCCAGTCAAATGCCTGTGGCTACTATTGGCTTATGGTAAAAGGACAAAAATGCAAGGAAATGCCTCTCAATCAGGCTATGATGTGATAATGTTATTGCTCCAATGTATTCTATATTGTCCCTGCATAGTTTAATCTGTTGAGATCCATGTCAAAAATTGCCCTTGTTCCCCAGAGGTCTTTACTCAACCTTTTAGTAATACAAGTGGATTTGAAAGGAGAGGGGTAACTCACTTGATGAATGGTTTCCAGTTAATATAAAAAATAAGAGGTCAACTGTGGCTTTAAGGCTAACCATGGAACGTATAAATTAGAATAAGCATGGTAGTAATCTGATTAGTAAGCCTTGCTCTTCATTTACCCCAGTGGGTAAACTATTTTCCAATAAATAATATTGACACAGAAACTTATTTACAAGAATGACATAATTCCTACAAAGTTTAGATGTTGAGGGGACTTTTGGCTGGGAAGCAATAAGAACAAAAGGCTCGCTTGCTTCTGTCTCTTCTTGTCCTTAAAACTTGTGCAACTACTGGGAATCTCATATTTTAAATTAGGCACCTCACATTTGAAAAATATAATTATTGCTACAGGCTGAGTAGTCCACTTGAGCTTGAAAGAAGGAAATTGCCATTTTTTGTTATTTTGATTTTGCTAATTAAAACAGGGAAAACTGACCCACATAGATTCTCTAAAGTTAAAAAGTCAAAATGGGATAATAATTATGCAAATTTCTATGCATTGCTGTAAAAATGATCTTTATATTTCCTTATATGGTCTCCACTATTTCCTGACCCCACTTTCCATGTGGTGTACATAGACTTTGGGAAGGGTGAAGCTCTAGTGATAGTGATGCTCCTGCTATTTTTAAAGAACCATGAGGTTACATAACAGGCATTTTGCCTAATTTGGTTCTCTATGATTCCACAAAGCTCTCCACAGGGATGACACAATACAAAAAGGAAAAAAAAAAAAAAGAGAGAACCTCTCCTGAGAAATATCTTGCTTATAACTTTGAAATAACTTCAGTGTTAAAACCAAATGACTTTTTCCAAAATTCTGCCTGTCCTCTCTCAGTTCAGTGCCCCAAAGTCATTATTCAGTGTAAAGTTCTATTTATAAACCCATTTTCCAGCCTGTACATACTTTTTACACTTGAAAAATTATGGTTTTGTGGACAGTTTTAGAGGATGAATCAGAGAAAGAGGAAAATTGTACTTTTGTGCTCACTGAATTCCCTTGCCATGAGGGTAGAAGCACATGCAATGCAAACTGTGATCCCATCAGGCGACGGCTGGCTGTGTTCCAGCTGAACCCTTCACAGGCAGTTTTATCACAACCTACTGTTTTTCACAGGGAAAAAAAACCCCAAAATACTACAGGACCTCTACAAGCAAGCCAACCTGAAGCAGGATATGACAAGTGTTGTGTTATTGCCATGAAACAGAGCAATTAGCCAGTGCCATCTAAATGGCACAATTTGGCAAAGGCTTTTTTGCTTGGGAAGCTCTTGATATGGTGATGACAGAACAAAAACCACTCACCTCCACCCACGTCCTCTCTGAGAACTCGCATCACTTTTCCTCCCAGATCGTGGTGACTCTCTCCCTCTTGAGGAGTATTTAAATCATCATGGGGACTTATGTAACGCCTCATCCGGGGTAAATTCATCAGGGTAATTTAAATTAACTACTCTCCTTTGCACCTCCAAATGGAGGGGGCAACATGAATCCACACGGATTTTTTCCCACTTCAGCAGTGCAAGTGGTGCCACAGCAGCACCTGGCAGCTGGTGTGGAAGGTACTTGGAGCAAAGCTCACCTTCCAGGAGGGAAGGGATCATACACTCCTTTTTACCTGTCTGGAATGCAGGGACACCAGTTTTTCCCAGTTCAGCTTCCTCCTGCTGTTGTTGGTGGCAGATGTAGCACACAACACAAGGCACAGATGACTTGGGAACAAAAGAAACAGAAGTTTCCCCTGACACAAGTGCAGGACAGTCTCCTGTGACATGGCACAGTGACTGCCAGAGAGCTGTCTCCTTGCTGCCCTCTACAGAACCTTGCTTCCCCTCTCCTGAGGGCTTGTACGTTTGTCCTTCCATTTTCAGCAAAAGTGACATTTCCCCCTTTTTCATTACGATTGAGAGAACAGACATGGGTGATGTATTCTCAGCCTGAGTGGGGATTGAAAAGATCTCCTCCTTTTGCAGTGTTTAATGAGGAAATCGAGGCAGCAACTATCAGTTTCATGATTTCTATCATGCATCTTTTGCCCTTCCCAAAGATCTGTTCATAGTTTCAGCATGAAAGTATAGGAAACTAATTTAAAAGAGTGTGAAGTTTTGTGAATGGGGAAAGAAACACTTATCAGAAAAAATGCCGAGAACCTTTGTTCCAGCATTCACAGGGTAGCCAGGTATGAAACTCCTTTCAGGGAGAACTCTGGGTACTTTCACTGGTAGCTCATCACCACACTTGGAAGGTGCTGATCTTTAGAGAAATGATATTTCATGATGTATGCTTTAAATTACAAAAAAGAGGGGGAAAAACTTAAAAAATGCAAGAAAATTCCTGCTGTTCCTTAACCTACTTGAAGCCAGAAATGCCTTAAAGCTAATAGGTCAGGCATTACTGAGAAGCCCAAACAATTTCAAAAGGTATCTCAGCTCTAGTACATCTTCCTTTGTTTCTCTTCCAGAATGATTGTGTTTTTATTTAAATTCCAGACTTTAAATGCAAGTCTAAAACCACCTGACTCCAAAGGGTCTGGATGATTTTTGTGTGAATCTGTAGTCATACCCCCTGCTGTTTCCCTTTTGTTAAATTAGTGTAATTTTGCAGCCTATGCAAAGAAAACTTGTTTTATACTCTCCCTTTTTATGAACATTTGGAACCATTAAAGTCATTTTGTAAACAAATTTTAAGATTATCTTTTTAAAACAAGTCTTCAAACACAGACATACAGACTCAGACAGACACACACAGATGCATGCATGCACACATTCCACTTTTATGACTTTGGAATAAAAATGCAAATGAATTTATTAGCTTAAGCATGGCACCAAATAGAAATTTATGCACATACATTTAAAAAACAGACTCCTTGAAAATAACGCAATTGCAACCTATTAATTTTCTTTTTTGACAGTTTTTAAAATTCCTCTAAAAAAATGAAACAGCATGAATACTGTCAATATATCACAACAGCCACATTAGGTTTTGTGATATACATCATAATATAAAGAGCACTATTAGAGCACAACCTGGGAACCATTAAATCATTCTAAATCACTGTTACATTCCATTAGTGTCAATGGTGAAACCACATAATAGGCTTTATTACAAACTTCACCTTGGTAGGCCATTGTCTCTAATAACCACTTCTCTATGATGTGGTATCATACCCAGAAATCCAGGGAGATAATAAAGGCTCCCTTATTTCTTTTTTATTGGATGGGTAAAGTTAAATTTAGCTGTAAGTAAAAAAAAAAAAAAAAAAATAAAAAAATCTCGAAGCTTTGTTCACTAACTGTGAGTTGCTGCTATTTGGACAAAAAAAAATTAGGCAGACTTGGGAGAACAGTTTGAAATAAATTTAAATCCTGGTAAATGCTTGAGGCCAAGGTAAGATAGGCAGTCCTGCAATTACCATGTCATTTTTGAAATGCAGCTTAGTGCATTTATGCCCTTCTTTACACTTTTGTTCAGATACAAAGCATTGATTACAGAAACATTATAGAAATTAAATCTGTATTCTCATCTCTCCAACCCCTATATATAAGCAGTAGCCATTAGAAAATGATGAAAGAAAGAAAGAAAGAAAGAAAGAAAGAAAGAAAGAAAGAAAGAAAGAAAGAAAGAAAGAAAGAAAGAAAGAAAGAAAGAAGAAGAAAGAAAAAGAAAAAGAAAAAGAAAAAGAAAAAGAAAAAGAAAAAGAAAAAGAAAAAGAAAAAGAAAAAGAAAAAGAAAAAGAAAAAGAAAAAGAAAAAGAAAAAGAAAAAAAGAAAGGTATCTGCACACTAGTTATTTTCTTCCTTCCTGAATTTCTTAGAAATTATTTGTAGGATCCTTTCTCCCATCTTGCAGAGCTAAACCTGGCTCACCATAACACATGTGATGACACAGATCAGCTCAACAGACTCTAGTGTAGTCCTTCAGGATTAGCATGAAGAACCTTGCTGTTTTGGGGAGCTGGGGATACTCAGTTCTACCTGGGTGAGAGTCTGTAGGCAGATGTGGAGGAATCCTGCCTCTCTGAAACTTAGACTGTGGTTTTAACTGGAGCAAGGTCTCCAACCTCAAGTTTTGAACTTTTTTTCGCACAGGAGCCTTGCATTTCCTGTAAGAACATTGATGAATTTTGATAATGTCTCTATCATCACAGCTTTCCACTTAGTCATCTTGCAAAATCCGACTTCTGACTTCAGTTTAAACAACACTTTAAACCCCCACCATCACTACTCAGTCATTGGAGTGTCTGAAAACATTTCTTGTGGTGATGCCTAATGTATAGTGCCTGTCTTTATAATTCTTTCATGTGAGTTCACTACAAGAGTTGGAGTAACTGGGAGGTAGATGTGAAGAGACAGGTGAGTACCCCAGCCTTGTACTGCAGCGGAGTTAATGAACTGTATCCTCTTGTCCACCTCACTGGTTTCTAGGGCCTGACGGCATTTTATCCTTAAATTTTCCTGTAGGGGATGATTAGGGATGGATGTAAATAAGAACTGGTCCTTACATCATAAAAAGTAGAAGTCAAAGGTTTTTACAAGGTCAAAAGTCCTTTCTGATTGGATCAATTGTTATCAAAAAGAAAATATACCCCCTCAAATAAGTAACAAGAGATAGGATGACATGAAATATAATTAGCAATATCTTTTGTTAACTCCATAAAATAAAAACATTTTTCTTCATTCCGCCTATTCTAAAATTAAACAATTCCTCTGAGCAAATCCTCCTTTGTCCATTTTTTCATTCATTTTTTTTTTCTGCATCCTGGGTTTTTCTGCATCTCTCTGAAATCTCTCCTGTTTTAAAATAATGACCCAGTTCCACATTCTCTGGTACGTCCCATATATTTGTGGCAATTTTGTACTTAGCTTTTTCCTTCTAAATGGCAATTTTATGTAGCAGCTCAAAAAGACTGCAAGTCTCTTGAATGTACAGGGAACAACAGTCAAGGTTTGTGTTGTCTTTCCGTACATTCATTCCTTTAAAACTTCAGTTCAGTACTTTCAACATTAATTTTATCTTCCACTGATCAGAATAATATCTTGCTATGCATGAAATACTGTTTTAGAAGTACGAATCTGGTTTCTTCATCTACACAGTATGAATTTACCAATCTCCCAGGCAACCTGTACTGCCAGATATAGAAGTCCCGTATCTCCAGTATGTAAGATCTGAAGTTAGAATGTAAAGCTCACTCTGAACTTGGAATATCCCCAAAGGTAGCCAGATCAGACACTGGAAACAAAGGAAAAACTGTAGGAGGAAAGGGGACTATAAAAGGATAAAAAGGTATGTCGAGGGAGATAAAAATCACAGTAATTCTGGGTGGCACATAATGATTAATTACAGATTTACCAATAAACCGTAGGGACTGGGCTTGCATGCATTTACTTCATTTAGGGTAACCTGAGACCAAGGTCACATTCTTCAGCTGTGGATGAAGTCAGATGTGGTTCAAGAAGGACAGAAAGTTATGGAGAGGAAGTGAAAGATGCCAGCAGAGAGAGCTGGGGAATACATCTAGTTTTTTGTATACTTTTATCAAAGTCTAAGCCTCCTTCAATGTTGCTAGTTTGAGTTTGGCATGGCAGTCCCCAGCCCCGTTTTCAATGTCAGATGTGCATATTCTGCCCCTCTCACTCTTCTCATAAACATAAAAATGGTAGGTTTTTTTCAGTGACTAAAATTTGCCATAAGAAAGGGTTAACATGACACAAGACACTCATGCAAGCAATAATGAATAAAAATTAAAAATATGGGAAACAGAATTTTGCCTAACAGACTCTGTAGGAGCTTAGAAAAGGGAATGAATGAACCATGCTTAAATTTGGCCACATTTGAATAAAGCATATAGTTAAAATATAACCCTTTATCTTGTTTTTTATTTTCAGTGTATATTGTAACTTTTTTTAATATACTGTAATTTACAATGTCACTGATGTTGCAGACGATCTGGGCAATTTCTGGTGCCATTTAAACAAGTTAGTCTGTAAAACTTTAGCTCCTCCTTGAGCTTCTCAATTTTTTATTCCAGCTTTCCTTTCTGTCTTTTTTTGGGGGAGTGGGGGGTGGAAACTAATACATCTGGGTAGTTAGGTACTTAGAGAGCCTAATTCTGGGATGTATGCAACATATGAAGCCAATAGAAGGGCAACAGTGGCAGTGTACTTAGCCTTGGCTTTAATATTCCTGTGATGTTGACTTGGGACATGAGGCAACTTTGCCCTCTTGAGAAGTGTCAAAATACATCATGCATTAGTATAAAACATAAAGTAAGTTCATTGCTAATTTTAAGAAAGATGACTCAATACTTTAGATGATTAACAGAGAACAGCAGCTATACCTTGTTACCATGTACAACACCCAATTTAAACACCATCTCTAAACAAGAAGTCAAATAACATGAGGAGTTTTTATTTTCTACATTTTTATATATATATTTATATTTTTTTCCATGATGCTGTGATACAAAATGGTCCATCAGATGGTTTCTTTCATTACTGGCATTAAATGGTGGAGTGATGGACAGATTTGCCCTCTCTAGGTTAGCTCATAGGCCACTTCCTTTGCCCTTCCTTCCCTCTCCTCCAAAATGTCGTCACTGATACGTGTGTATGGCACCGAAATACTCATCCCTACTCAGTATATGCAGAGGTGACAAAGAATGGTAACAAAACATCTGTAAAATGTGAGTGTTTCCAGAGAGCA